AGAGAACAGCACGGCAAAGGCCAGTTAGCTGGGGACAAGGAAGAGTACCGTCTTGTCTGCATTTCCAGACAGGTCTCATGTTTTGAGAGATGGGGAACACAAGTTAAAATAAAACATACATTCACGGAAAATAGGGAAGCCATGGAAACAAATCATTTTACCACTACAGAATCACAGGATTCAGGGACAAAATTTTTACTTCCTCTCCTGTTGTTCTGGAAGATCATTACTGACATTACGGCTCAAGAAAACAGCCACCCACAGAGCATGGGGAAAACCAGAGTCAGTCCTACACTGGTTTCAAACCAAAAAAGTCAGGTAAAACAATTTGGACAGCACGTTGCCATATTCCCATTCTCTTGGGTTGGAAGCGACATCAATTATTTGCCACTCCAGAGCCCGTCACTGTGGACTTGGCAAAATCAGTTCTCACTTGAACTCCCAGCGACAACCAAGTAAGGATAGCAAGACACCTCTGAACATAACTGCCCCAGATCCGCACTGCAGTCCATGATAACACCAGGACTAGGCAGAAGTCAGCCTACTCTCAGGCCTCTGCCCTACACTCTGCTTCTTTCCTATCTGCCTCCTGCCTTCCCTCACACCTTGTGCTCTCTTCCAGCTGGATCGCTGGACCCTGAGGGTTCACAGGGAAGCTGGGAGCTAGGAGGCAGGGTTCAGACACCAGGTGAGAAAACGCAAGGGAAGAGATTGTTTTCTTACTTCTTTGCATGGTGCCACCCTCCAGGCCAGTTAATCGCTACCTTGCACTTGCTGTCCAGCAGGCACTGGGCTGCAGTGATGGTGGCTCCTCCCACGGCTGCTGCATACTCAAAGATCCCTTCAGTAGCCGGACAGTCATAACCTGCGGGTAAGAGTCCGTGTGTCAGACACAACAGGCCTTTTCCTCTGGGGGAAGAACATTCTTTTTGTTTTGAGCTATCTCTCTTTAACCACTGCTCTAACCTTCTGTTCCAGGCATGAAGGAAAAGACATGGCACAAAACCGTCACAACAGGACTCACACAGTAGATTTAGAGGGCATAAGTAGGAAAAAAATTGCATTTGGCTTGTGTGGCAAAGTTTTCATAGCGGGGGAGCTACAGGGGTGGCTTCTGTGAGAAGACACCAGGAGCTGCACCCATGTCAGACAGAGATGGCTCCAAGACAGACCCACCACTGACCAAGGCTAAGCCCATCAGTGACAGTGGCGGCACCTCAGTGATAGCATATTGAAGAAAGGGTTAAAAATGCTGCGCAGCAGCTAGGAGAATATGTGAGAGAACCAGCCCTGCAGATACCCAGGTCAGTGGAGAAGGAGGGACAGGAGGTGCTCCAGGTGCCAGAACAGAGATTCCCCTGCAGCCCGTGGGGAAGACCACGGTGAGGCATGCTGACCCTCTCCAGCCCATGAAGGTCCACGGTGGAGCAGATCTCCACCTGCAGCCCATGGAGGACCCTACGCTGGAGCAGGTGGATGCCCAAAGGAGGCTGTGAACCCATGGGAAGCCTGCGCTGGAGCAGACTCCTGGCAGGACCTGTGGACCCATGGAGAGAGGACCCCACGCTGGAGCAGGTCTTCTGGCAGGACTTGTGACCCCACTGGGTCACACTCATGCTGCAGCAGTCTGTTCCTGAAGGACTGCCCCCCGTGGAAGGTATCCACACTGGAGCAGTTTGTGAAGAACTGCAGACCATGGGAAGGACCCACATTGGAAAAGTTTGTGAAGAACTGTCTCCCATGGGAGGGACCCCATGCTGGAGCAGGGGAAGAGTGTGAGGAGGAAGGAGCAGCAGAGAAAGTGTGATGAACTGACCACAACCCCCATTCCCCATGCCCTTGCACTGCTCGAGGGGGAGGGAGGTAGAAGAGCTGGGAGTGAAGCCGAGCCTGGGAAGAAGGGTGGATGAAGGGGAAGGCGATTTTAGTTTTGTTTTCAATTCTCACTATCCTACACTGTTATTAATTGCCAATAAATTGAAATAACTTCCCTAAGTTGAGTCTGTTTTGCCCGTGACAGTAACTGGTGAGTGATCTCCCTGGCCTTATTTCAATCCACAATCTTTTCCATGGTATTTTCTCCCCTATCCTGTTGAGGAGGGGGAGAGACAGAGAGCATCTTGGTGAGCACCTGGTGGCCAGCCAAGATTAACCCACCACAAAAATCAACAATCAAAATGTTTCCTTGCACTCAGATCATTCACAGATGGGTCTTGAACCAACTTCTGATCTGCGTGCCTGGCTAGCTTGACCTACTGGTCCATCATACTAATCTCGCAAAAAACACTCTCAGTTCTCTGGCTACTCTACCAGGAAAGCCCTGACATGGTCACTGATGTATCTCCCCCCTACAAACAGACATTCACAAAGGAGACAGGCCTAGGTACACTGCAGGTCTATAGCTAGAATACGATATTCACTTACTCCTGCAGCAGTCTCCCTGGAGCCATTCCCAGCAAGGCGTGACCCCAGGGCTGCTCCTCTGTCTGCAGCCAGATCAGCTTCAGAAATGTAAATGGCAGATCTAGGGGAGACTCACGAGATCAGCACAGAAATTGCACCACTGCCTCAGTGCTGGCTCACGCCTCCTGTTCCTGAGACTAAGACAGTACCCGCAGCCACCTCACCTGCATTAACTACCACACTGCTCAGTTTTAAGTCCAGGCAGGCAAGAGCCCCTGCTCAAGACATAAGAAAAGTCACCAGGCAAACAGCAGCCACCCTGAGCCCTGGCTGTAGCTTCAGGCCGTTGTTCACGCGTGCCCTCCATCACAGCAGGCTGCCAGCAGCCAGTCGCAGCTCTGTCCCAACGGCAGCATGTCAGGCCTCCTGTCCTGCCCGAGATCCTCAAAGCAGCAGCCAAAGGCAGCGGCTCCCGGTATCAAGTGACGGGCCGAGCCGCCCCGAACAGCAGCCTGAGGCTGACAGTACCCTCTGCTGGCAGCAGTGAAAACGCCAGCCTGACAGGTGACTGCTGGCTGACGGGCTTCAGCAACATCCCATCAAAGAGTGTCCCCCTCCACAAACGACCCAGCAGCCCACTTGAGCTCACCCCTCTGTCTAACCTCAGCTTCAGCAAAAAGCGTCCTGGACCCAACACTCAGTTAATCTCTCGCTGAAGATACGTGTCCTTACCTAGTCCATACTCCACAGACTCCGGATGGTCATCATCCCCCTCCTCACTGACCTTCTGCAGGTGCTGCAGGTAGGCGTCCGTGTGGAAGCTCGCCATCTCCTCCATGGAGGCCACTTTTGGCTTGACTATCCTAGGCAGAAAGGAAGAAAGGAGCAGGTCAGGACAAGAGGCTTCAGGGTTCAGCTGGAACGCCCAGCTTTGACATTCTCGGACTAGGAGCCTTCTTTTGGCAGTCATTGTTGAAAAAGCAAACAAACCCCCCTTCTCCTCTCGCACGGACTGTCACTTCGAGTGACAAAGCTGCTCAGCTGAGCTGGGAGTAGGCCCTTCCCCCAGCTTGGCATTGTCTCCTGTGCCCACCCCAATAAGGAACACCTGCAGGTGCTGCCTGCATTAACCTTTCCACTTTGCTTCATTTTTTTTCCCCTTTTCTGCATGTTCTCCCACTGGGAGCAATCCCCAGCAGATCCAACGTTCCGGTTACACACAAAGGAAGTAACAGAGTGAAAACATCCAGGCCCAGCCCAGCTCTGCAGCATGACACCAGCCTGCTGGGTCAAGAGCTGAGCAGCACCTCTTACATGCTCTTAACTCTGCCGGCACTCAAAGCAGAGACTGTCTCTGTCCTCAGCAACTCACACATCACCTTTCCCAGGTTTGAGTGCTTTGCAATCTGCCTAAATAAATCTCGTCACATGCTGAAGCCCTCTCCAGGCCTCAGACTCTGGGGGTGCACACAGGCAATGCAGTACAGCTCCATTGCTACTGGAAGAATGAAAGAAGTGACCAGCTCTAGGCTAGCCCAGGTGCCGGGCACTTCTGACCCCACATCAGGGCAAATGGCCCTTTGAGTCCACCTCTGTAATGGTACCTCCAGCCATTTCCCAACCACACTTTACCAAAATGACCAGAAAAAAACATTTAAAAAAAAAAGTCCCAATAGGACTTTCTGGCCCTGCTTTTGGAGCATGGGACTTTTTTAATATTTTACAAGATGCCACATAAAGGAAGCTGAGCTAAGCCTTTTTTTCCCTTCATATCCTCCAGTGTCAAGAGCCTAATGGGGCAGGAGGGTGCTCACTCTTCTGCCTCGGACCTCATCTTGTCTTCTCTCCTGAACAGCACCAAGACCTCATGAAAAGTCTCCCAAATCAATCACACCACAGCAAAACACGGTCCATCTCAGCATCAACACTGGCCAGCGGATTCAGAGCAGTGCCAACAAGGATGGTTTCCACACCATCACTTCTGCTCAGAGCCATGAGAGCAGCGGGTGACAGCGTGCTCTACGGAGAAAGCACAAGGCAACCTGTACTCCACTGGACCAGGAAGGGTAACCATAAATTATACCTGCCGTAACTAACATAATCTGGTCCCTTTAGCAAAACAAGCAGACTTTCCTTAGATCCTAGAAATACACAGTGTGGGCTCCTATAATCACACTGCCAGCGGGGACCTGCAGTTACTCTCAGTATCTTCCAACCTTAGCAGAGAAGAAAATATTCTCTTCACAGAAAACGGGAGCACTTACTTCATCTGGTCAAGTAAGGAATACGCTTCAATCAACGAATGCACCATACTGGCCTAAAAAAAGAAGACCGTGAGGGCAGCTCTAGCGCCGGAGACAGAAGCGCAGCAACCAGGGGCTAAACGACCCGCGGCAAAGGCGTAACCGCGACT